CTGACCCAGGAGGAGGTACTGACGCGGGAGGGCTCAGAGGCCTGCGTCCCACCGCAGCCGGCAGCCCAGGGCGAGGGGCGGGGCGCAGGGCGGCGGCACGCAGCGGCCCGGGCGGACACTCGGGAGCTGCCGCCCGCAGGTGGAGATGCTGTACGAGGAGGCCTTGTACACGGTCCTGCACCGCGCGGGCACCATGGACCCTGACCAGGTGGACGACGAGGCGGCCCTGCTGGGCTACCTCCAGCAGGTGAGCCGCAGCCCGGTCCCCGCTCCGGGGACAGCCACACCACCACCAGGGTGACACAGACTGGACACAGGCACAGGTGACAGGTGACAGGCCCCGGAGAGGTGAGAGGTGGCATTCACACACAGGGATGGACACAGAGGGCGCGGGACTGGGGCTGATCCGGACAGACCGTGTGGACTCCGCCGCCAGGGCCCCGCCCACAGCCTGGCGGCCTTTCCAGGTGGGGCAGAGGCCGGGCTTGCTCCCTTCCCTCTCTCCCTGGAGGTCGGTGGTCCCTCACTGGAGTCCCTCTCCAGGCCTCCCCCCCACCTCCCGCAGGTGTTTGGCACCAGCCCCGAGGAGCACGCTGCGGCCATGGAGCGTGTGAAGAAGGCCAAGGTAAGCCCTGGGCACACGGGGGGGGGCGGGCGCTGACGGATGGGGGGGAGGCCCTCGTGGTCCTGCTGAAGCTGCCCGGGGGGGGCGGGCGCTGACGGATCGGGGGGAGGCCCTCGTGGTCCTGCTGAAGCTGCCCAGCCCCATGCGGTTCCCACAGGCTCCCACCTACGCCCTAAAAGTCTCCGTCGTGCGAGCCAAGAACCTTCTGGCCAAGGACCCCAATGGTGAGTGGGGACCGGGTGGACCCTGGCTGGCCAGGCCTGGCGTCTGTGGAGGGCAGAGGGCGGAGGGCAGGCTGCTGCGGCCTGAGGCTCTGCCCGACGCAGGCTTCAGCGACCCGTACTGCATGCTGGGCATCCTGCCGGCCTCGGGCGCCCCTCGGGAGCCCAGCGGGCAGAAGGAGCAGCGCTTCGGCTTCCGGAAGGGCAGCAAGCGCAGCGGCCCGCTTCCCGCCAAGTGCATCCAGGTCACGGAGGTCAAGAACAGCACTCTGAACCCCGTCTGGAAGGAGGACTTCCTGTTGTAAGCTTCCTCTGCCCCCCTCAGTCCCCTCTACCCTCAGGGGATGAGTCCCAGGCTTTATTGCTGCTCCTAGGGACTCCAAGGCGGGCTGGCTGGATCCGATGTCCAATGGAGAGTGCGGGGCGGGGGGGCATTCTGTGCCAGCCCTGTGCTGGGCCCCAGCGGCCACCCAGCTGGCAAAGCCGAGATGTGCACATAGGAGCTGGCGCTGTGGATACTCCCTATGTCCCCGGACTTGCCGCTGCCCAGCCCTGGAGAGAGGCGGGGGGGAGCCGGGGACCCACACGAAATCTCTGCTCCCCGCAGCGAGATCGAGGATGTCAGCGCGGACCAGCTGCACCTGGACATCTGGTACGGGCCTTGGCTCCGTGGGCCTGGGGGGCAGAGGCAGGACCGGGCTCTGCAGCTCCAGACAAGCCTGCCCTCCCCGCAGGGACCACGACGACGATGTGTCCCTGGCAGAAGCCTGCAGGAAGCTGAACGAAGTGATCGGCCTGAAAGGCATGAGCAGGTGCAGTGCTGGGGCCCTGTGCCCGCACCCTGCCCTGCGCCCTGCCCCGCGCCCTGCCCCGCGCCCTGCCCCTCGCCCTGCCCC